CTTGCCTCATCGCCCCTTCCTTCCTTCTGTAGGTGTGACCCCCAGCCACAGTGCCTTTTCCATGCATGCTCTGGTGGTTGACCACTACATAGAAGGGGCCTTTTATCCCCGAGGGGGTACCAGTGAAATCGCCTTCCACACCATCCCTGTGATTCAGCGGGCCGGGGGCGCTGTCCTGACCAGTGCCACTGTGCAGTGTGTGTTGCTGGACTCAGCTGGGAAAGCCTGTGGTGAGAGCCCTGCATCATGCTTCCCGGTCCCCGGGCTGGGGTGGGACAGAACTGGGGTGCAGAGACAATCAAGCACTGCGGCCACAAGGTGGAAGAACTGACCTCACGGGGAGTTCAAGGCTGAAACTGCCCAGAGCAGGAGCTTGGGGAGAGGGATTAGTCTGGAGGTAGAAAGGAGGCAGGAAGGATAAAGGATTGACTCTTCCCCCAAAGGACAGTATTTAATCATTTATTCAGTAGGTAAAAATAGTTATCTAGTAATCCATAACCTCCTTGAATATAGGGGCTGTGTCTCTGTTATCTTTGTAGATCTTGGCACATAATGGAGGCTCAACACATATTTGTTCAGTGATGGAATGAATATGTAACCTGGGCACTCCAAACGGCAGTGTGGAGACCAGCAAGATGCCCTACCCTCAACCTGTAAATGGCCGGTGGAGCCGAGAATCTCATTAGCCTGGCTCAGGTCTTTACTGCTACCTGCACAGAGAGTCAAAATTGCACTGTGGATGAATTCGTGAGAGGGTGTATGCAGGGAAGGACTCTGGTACACAGAATGAACAGGCCATCCATGACTAGGGGCTGCTTAAAGAAGCATCCGGGAAGGAGACACAGAGAGGCTTGAGAGAACAGGGCTGATGTGACAGTGAACTCACCAGAAGAATCTTGCAAGGAGGAAGAGGGGAGTGGATGGCCCAGTGCACAAAAAAAAAAAAAAAAAAAAAAAAAATCTAGGGGGAAAAGGCCAGGAGTGATCTCTGAGAATGCATGTGTAGAAGAGACCAGGAAGTTGTCGGGTGATAAGGGAGAGATGGCTGTCAGTTGTGTGAGATTTTCTCTGATGTCCAGAGCAAGTTCTCCTCACAGCTGAAAGAGGTCCATGAAGCAAGGTGGGTTGATCAGATTAATTAGATCAGTTCAGAATATTGTATTTTTCAGGTGCTAGGTGATAAAAGATGGAGATAAAAACCTAAGATGGCTATAAAGAAAATCTGTAACTCATGAAGTTTCCAGCCTCATAGGGAAGATCACTGAGATATAATTTAAAGTGTCAGATAGAGGTACATCCTAAGAATGGAGGAAGGAAGGTAGAGGTGCTTGAGCCAGCTCATTAAGGGTGAGAAGAAGTTAGCCCGAGGCTTTGGGATGTTATTCCAGGCAAGGGGAACAGAATGTGCAAAGGTACAGATGTATGAAAGAGCTGAGTATTTTTAGGCATCTGGAAGTAGTAGGTTGAACCCTAAGAAATTGCCTTTTTTATTTTTTAAGTAGGAGCCCAACGTGGGGCTCAAACTCACAACCCTGAGATCAAGATCCAAGTCAGACGCTTAACCAACTGAGCCACCCAGGTGCCCCAGAAACTGCCATTTTTATAGGTCAATTAATGGTTGACTATCAGCTGTTTCATATGCTGCCCCCTAATAGTTTAGTGAGTGTGGCCAGAGATGACGCTGGAGACATAGAAGGGCCCAGACCTTGGAAGGCCGGTATGACTTTGGAGTTTATCTTACAGAGGTTGTGGTGTCGCCAGAGGCTTTCAGAGTATTTTGGAAATAGAACTCTGGCAGCAGTGAAGAAGGTCCTGGGATTCCAGTGGAAGGGTGTCAGCCCATGAGCTTTGTCGGGGTTCGTGTGGAGGTTGTCAAGTTTGACTAAAGAAAAGGGTGCTCCCATGGGACGGGGAGAGGGCCAGGGAAGGTAAGGGCAGGAGCGACTTGGGATAGGCAGAGAGTGCTCGAAGATGTTGCATTTGCTTTGCAGTTTTGCCTAGAGCCTGGCCCTAGGTGGGCTGGATGCCCAGGTCTGAGAACATGAAGTGTAGGCTGGGGGAGAGAACTGTGTGAAATCTGGACCTTCCTCTTCCTCCTGGAGTGCACAGAGCCTCAGCCAAGCTCTTGTGCCTGCAGGTGTCACTGTGAAGAAGGGTCAGGAGCTGGTGAACATCTATTGCCCCATCGTGATCTCCAACGCAGGACTCTTCAATACCTATAAGTACCTGCTGCCTGAGAACGCCCGCTGCCTGCCAGGTAAAAGACCGGGCTGTGTTGCTCCTCCGAGCTCCCAATAGCACCCCTCTTTCTCCTCCTGGCTGCCCTATGACCGCCCTTAAGCAGAACAGGTAAGCACGCGCATGCTGTCTCCAGCATCTGTTCCCAGCAAGGCCTCTGTGTTTAGGGGTTGGGAAGCAGCTTCCCTTGTATTGTATCACCCCCAAAGAGCCCTTGGTCCTTATCTCTCACTCCATTCTTGGCATATTTACCCTCTCTCCCCTATAATCTCACCCACTTTGCCCTCTCCTCTTTCAAGGCTCCCTTCCAGGTTGCCCATTTCTAGTTTCTCCAGATCTTAAATCATCTAATAGTTCATGATGGTCGGTAGCATCCTAAAGGAATATTTCTTGGGTTTTCACGAAGTTTGTGGTATGAATCCTGCTTTTTTCCTTAATTTCTCACTTATTTTGAGTGGGAAAGCCTGTTCTGACAGTATCAGTAAGGGAAGCTAAGGCCAGCATGGAGAAGAAAGTCTTGCTATAATTGTTGTGTTTTATTTGGGACCCAAGATTATACTTTTTTTTTTGCCTCTTTCAGGAACCAGCTCCTTATTAAGGCTGAGGCTGCAAGAGGAGTACCCTTCTGGCTTTCTTCTGTCCCTTGAGCTCTGGGCTTGTGCTTGAAATCTGGGGCCCAGATAACACTTAATGCAGTCATCTCCTCTGCTAGGCTGTGTCCAAAAATATAGAAGTCTGATTTGGGGGGCAAGAAGGCATAGCTATGGGTGAGGGCTTCCTTGGTAAGTCTGTGTGAGAGGCTTTCCCTTTGTCATTGCACATGATCCTCATTGCCGCCTGGGAGAGAGATGTCATCATCCTAACGTTTATGCAGGAGGTAGAGAAGTGAGGTGAAGTGACTTCCCAAGGCCACCCAGGTGAAAGTAGCAAAGCGGAGATGAGAACACTGGTGTGTCTGACTTGAAAGTCTGGGCTCTTGGCCCCCTTTGGACTAAGGAACATGGAGCTTCCAGAAAAAAGGCCTCACTAAAAAGGGCAGGAGAGCAGGCCAGCCCACAGGGAACCGAGTAGCCGAGCCAGAGTTGAGTGAGATGTTACCATTTTGAAATGGACTTTAGGATATCACGTAACCAGAAGCTGCTGGTATGATCTGAGGACAGGAGGCTGGCTGGCTAGGAGGGTAAGAGACGGTTCTAGATAAAGGCCTCTGGCTGGGGTGGGAGGTGGAGAGTGAGGAACAGCTCCAGATGCGGTTGGGGTGGAAACCATGGCCTTCAGCAGTACATGGAGGAGCCCAGAGAGCAGTGGGAAGGAGCTCTCCACTCCAGAGGGTAGGCTTGTGGCTGCTCTGGAGGAGCTGAGGAAGGTGGGCAGCAGAGCGGGTTCAGTAGAAAAGTGATGTCCTAGGTTTCCTCACGGGGGAGAAGGCAGGTGGCAGTTGCGATGATCTCTAAGATATGAGCTGTGTTTGACCGAAAACCAGCCTTTTCATCTCTTTGCCTCACTTAGCTGGGCCTCAGCCAGCATCCGCTGCCAGCAAAGGCCTCCCTTCCCTCACACTGTGTGAGCTGAGTGAGGTGAGGCTGACTGGCTGGTGGCAGGGCAGCTGGACAGGGCTACGTGGCCTGACAGACTTTGCCTTTGGTACTTCCTGCCCCCCTGTCTCCTGGTCTCCCAGGACCTCTGAACCCTGGCCCTGTCCTCTGCTGCGGTCCCAGTGCCCTCCCCGTCCCTCCACCCCTCCTCCCCCGGAAGCCATGTTGCCCTCCCTTCACTATCCAGTTCCGGTTACAACGTTTACTGCTTTTATGTCTCTTATTTAATGGCACCAGCCCCACCTGGCTAAAAAAACAGTTGTCCCGCTTGGATGGGGAGTTAGAAGCTGCCTCAGATGAATCCCAGTTTGAGAACATTTCAGGCAGTGGCAGTGAGGATGCTTAACTCAGGAGACCCCAGGCGCTGGGACTCCTTTGTTTCCAGCTGCTTTGGGGGTAGGGATTCTCGTGGGTCTGTCTCCCTCTCAGAGACGAGAACCAGGTATCTGGGGGCCTCTGGGGCAGGCAGTGCCAGTGGCCGTCAAGTGTGGAGGAGGGGTGGTCAGGCAGAGGGAGCCTGTATGAATGGGAGCACTTTTAATTCCGCTGCTGAGCCTCGAGGAGGTTCCTGGGGATGGTCTGGAGGGGAAGTTGTTTGAGTGGGGAAGACTGGTCCGACGGTATCAGCAAGGGAAGCTAAGGCTGGTGTGGAGAAAAAAGCCTTGATATCATCGTTGTGTGCCTGATTTGGGGCTCAAGGCTCTGGTGTTCTGCCAGGGATGTGGTTCCCGGATCACATCCCTCTAGTTGGAGAAAAAGGAAAGGAGGGGCTGGGTGGAGGTAGTTGCTATTCTTAAGGGCCTCGGAAGACCTACAGGGTCTCACTCCCGGGCATCCTCCCCCCCATTTTCCCCATGAACACCCCCACTGCACTTGGCAATGGGGAGCTGGCAGTGAGGTCAGCCCCAGACCCTGGGACGCAGGCCACGGCTGCCCCTGCGGCTCCACAGCAGCCCTGGGCGCCCTCCTGTGGCTCCGGAAGCCGGCGTTCCCCTTCCCTTGTCAGCACGCGCCTGCGGGCCACCGTTATCTGCCTCACTTTCCGCCCACAAGTGGCCTCTTTGGCACGACAAATTCTATGCTCACCTGACACAGAGCACTCAGTTTTTTGTAGCCTCTATGGGGAAAGCCACCTTCTTTCAGGAAAGCCGCCTTTCCAGTAGACAGGCGTTGTATCTGATTCCTTGTAGTGTCCCCAAGGCCTAGCAGAGGATTCGGCACATTTTAGGTCCTCGACAAATACTAGTTCAACAAATTAAGCAGAGCACCCAGTGGCCGAGTTACCCTTCAGGCGGGTGGTGGTCCTGGGAATGGGAACGAAGGATAAGACTTTGTGGGAGCCATTTCCAGAAAATTGGTCTGGGGTCATTTGTTGAGAGGTGGGGAAGCCCAGCTGCTTGTCTGGGGACATCAGATGGCCCTCAGAGAGGCTGTCACCTTCCTCCATCGTGCTCTTCCCTCCTCCCCTACCTGAATCCTAAATGCCAGGTGTCAGTAATGTGGTTTGCATTTATTCATCTGCATTGCTTACCATTTTGAGGTCTTGTACTCCCTGTACAGCGTGAGGAATTACACATATTCGTTCACTAGATGGCCCGTATTAAATGTAACAGGGAAATCAAGGCTTATAACAAAGTAGTGTTCATACGGGTGGTCTGTATAGCGTGGAGCCCAGGAATCCGCTCATAATTTCAAGCCATTAGGGGAAGACTGGAGGCAGTGAGCCTGGGACCGTGCTGTAGCCCTGGGCCAGCTTAGGGAAGCTGGGCCTCCTGGGCTTCTAGGGACGCTTAGAGCAGAGGTGGGAGGAGGCAGATGAGTGGGAGCCTGAGGTTGGGTTCTTCACAGGCAGGAGACGGAAGAAGTGCCCAGCACCCCCCCGCCAAGTCAGTATTGAAATAACAGTTGTAAAAACGGCCCAGGTGCTAGCTGGCCGCCGAGGGCAAGGCTGCGGATAAAGTGAGCAGGCATCCGCAAGTCCGGGGACAGGGAGTGGCCGCCGCAGCCACAGTTCCCGCAGCCCTGACACTTTGGCAGGGGTGAAGCAGCAGCTGGAGATGGTGCGGCCTGGCTTGGGCGTCTTCGCCGTTTTCATCAGTCTGCGAGGCACCAAGGAGGACTTGGGTCTGCAGTCCACCAACTACTTTGTCTACTTCGACACAGACCTCGACAAAGCGTAAGGCGTGTGTACCCATGGGGGGACAGGGCGTCAGCACGGGCCCACAGCCCACAGGGCTCTTGCTCCCTCCCTTGACGCTGGACAATCAGCAGCAGGATATGGACTAGGCCTTAGCTTCATCCCTGGGCGGGGGGACGAGGGGGGTGTCCCTGGGGGTGACCTGTCCTCCAGGCAGTGCCGGTGACAGCGAGGCCTGGGGGTCGGCAGCCACGCTCCTCGCCCCCAGGATGGAGCACTACCTCTCGATGCCCAGCGAAAAGGCTGCAGCACACGTGCCCTTCCTCTTCATCACTTCCTCGTCAGCCAAGGATCCCACTTGGGAGGACCGGTTCCCAGGTGGGGCTTTGGGTCCTGGGGGGTGGGAGCTGGAACAGGGAAGGGGCCTGGCAGGAGTGACCCTGGCTCTGTGTCCCCAGACCAGTCCACAATGATCGTGCTGATGTCCACCTGCTATGAGTGGTTTGAAGAGTGGCAGGAGGAAGCGACAGGGAGGCGGAGCAGCGACTATGAGACCCTCAAAAACTCCTTTGTCGAAGCCTCCCTGTCAGTTGTCATGAGGCTGTTCCCCCAGCTACAGGGGAAGGTAGGCGGGTAGACTGTGTGCTAGTGGCAACAAACCTCTTGGTGACATTTCCTTGTCTTTGGGGGAGGGAAATAAAGCCTGGAGACAGCGAAGCTCAGGGAAGGGCAGGGAACCCATGCCGGCAGACAGCTCAGTCAGGGAGAGCAGAAAAGGGAGGACATGAGGATCTCACAAGGCCCCGCTCCTACCCTTTGGCTGCTTTTTTTGTCTCCTCAGGTGGACAGTGTGGCCAGAGGGTCCCCACTGACCTACCAGTTCTATCTGGCTGCTCCCCGGGGTGCCTGCTACGGGGCGGACCATGACCTGGACCGCCTACATCCTCACGTGATAGCCTCCATGAGGGCCCAAAGCCCCATTCCCAACCTCTACCTGACAGGTACACAGACTGCCCCATTTCTCCAGGGCCTGAGACCCTGGGCTTCCCTGTCACCCCAAGTACTCTGTTCTGTCCTCACGTCCTACTGTCCCCTGCAGCCTTCCACATGGGGATGGGCTGCCCCAGCAGGCTGTGGCCCCTGGTCCCCATCTAAAGTCATCTCTGGGTGGCCTAGCCTGGAGGGATGAACATGAGGAGCCCTTGCCCCCCACCCCCCGTGGAAGGATGCTCATGGGCCTCTGCTCTTGTCTCCTAGGCCAGGATATCTTCACCTGTGGGTTGATGGGGGCCTTGCAAGGGGCCATGCTGTGCAGCAGCGCCATCCTGAACCGGAACTTGTACCTAGACCTTAAGAAGCTTTACTCAAGGATCCAGGCACAGAAGAAGAAGAATTAGTTCAGTAAGCAATGAGTTTGAGGAATCCCGCCGGATCTCTGGCACGGCCCTTGATTTAGCTATGTCTTTCTGTACCGGTTCCCTCCTCACATAAAGCACTCTAATTTGTTTCTGATTTCTGACTAGAGGTCTGACACACAGGTCACAGTCCTTAGATCACAGTTCTCAAGCTGCAGCTCTTCCAGCTGGGCAGGTGGTGAGCTCTCAGACCTCTAACGTGTTGTCCCTGCTAAAAGGCCCGGTGTGGGTCAGTGACTTGGACAGCCTGTCTTGTCAAGCAGTGCTTTGCATACCACACTCCCATACCTCCCAACTCTGAGCAGTCAGAAGTCAAGTATCCTTTTGGTCAGATGGACGGAACCTTCAGTGTTGGCCAGCTGCAGCAGCTCGGTCCAGCCGTCTCGAGGCTTCTCCTCTTCCATTCTCCACGCTGTGCTGCAGCAGCTCCACGCTACTGAGGATAAAAGGTGCCTGAAGAGGTTTTTGTCAAAACCTGGGCATGGTTTTGCTTGTAGTCCCATAGGTTCAGAGGCCCCCAGATCCCATTTTTGTTGGTTCCAAGGGCTCTTTCAGAGGGTGGGGAAATGCCTATGATAGGCTCAGTGTGACTGACTGAAGACATTAGTCAGCCAAGTATATGTTAGAATATCCAATTCATATACAGACAGGCCCTAGGTTGGTCTTCCTTATTTCCAAGGTGACGCTGGGTCTTCAGTGCGCCAGCACCAAGATACCCTCATGGAGCTCAGTACTGAGCCTCAAGGTTTATCTTCCAAAAATCCACAGCAAAGGGTGACATTAGCAGTTGGGGCACAGGACTGAAAAGATGACTTCATTGGGGTTGAAGCAGGCTGAAAGAGCATTCTTGGCCAAGGGTATAGCAGAGGACAATCACAGAGGTAACTGGAAGACAAATCAGCCATCAGCCAGCTACCTCCTAGACCCAGAGGTAGGAAGGAGTGGGGCTGGAAATCAGGATCAGAATGTGGAAAGCTACAGAATGTGTGCAGAGGCTTGGGATGGGGTTCCTGTTTATTGGTACATATGTAGGGATTAGATGGGAAGGTGAACAAAGGCTTTTTCACTTATATTAGACCTTATTTCTGTCAATCTTATTACCATTTTAATAAATTTAATGATTTTATAGCTTTAATATTTGAAATTTATTTTGGTTTCTGTGCAATGATACAAAACTACATTGAAATAGCATTCAAAGAAGCTCAGTAAAACATTATGTACTGAAAAATACTTATTAGACCAAATAAGCTTTAAAAAAATAAAAGTAATTATACAGTTAAGTTAAAGCTGAAAATATAAAACATTGCAAAAACAGTGGCACTCTACTAATTGGGTAAACAAAAAAGGGAAACACATTCAACAATCATTTATTAACATGAGAAACTTCTGAATTAAAGGAATATCTACAAGTGTGAGGAGGCTGGCTTTGTTGGCAGCCTGAAACTACACAGCTCAGACCCAACACCGTTACAGAGGAGTTTCTCAACTGGGACATTTAGGAAATTGACATGAGACTTGTGGGACTAGCTGAATTGAGATTCAGTCCTTCTCTGGATGAACAGTTAAATGGAACCTAAAAATCTCTTCCCAGCCCTCTTCCTTAAACAAGGCAGTGTCAAAGGCAACCTTCCCAGCAAGATTTTTCAGAAAACAGCTGGCCGAACTATAGGGTCTGGTGTCTAAAATACTCTCCTCCCTGTTCAAATGATTCAGAACATGTGCAAAGCGTGCTAGCTTTCATCACATATAAATAACAGCATTATGTATCATGTTACCCTGTAAAAACAAGGAGCAGGCTTCCTTTTTTTGATTTAAATGACATGAAGTAGAGAAAAAAATGAGAATCACCATCAGGGGAATTATAGAGGTTTATAATTCTATCACCAAATGTTTCATTAAAAGCCATCATGGGAAAAGAAATGTCAGCATATACATATAGCTGATTGTCAGGTCTTTCTGAGTTGTTACAGCCTTTCTAGATAGACTGGCCTTCACTCTCCACAGAGTCCAGAAGTGGATTCTTTAAATAATTCTTCTACTCAGTAATCTGAGATCAGCTATTCGATTTCCATTTTTTCTTTGCAGAGGGGAAACAAACCCCTCTATTGACATCCATGACTAAAGCATCGATTCCTCCTAATAGAAATCACCCTGCAACCAAAAGCTGGGGCAGGAAAGCAAGCACATAGCTGTCTGGATAGGGGTGCCTCTCATGGCTCCATGTGCTTACCTGCCCCCCCCCCCCACCAAGAGATGCCTTAGCCAGCTCATCCTCCTCCACATCATCTCTAGGAAACCGGCTTCCAATAGTTTATCTTAAAAAAAAAAAAACCAATAGTTTATCTTCAAAAGGACAACTATGGAGAAAACAAGTTTTCCACTGGTGTGAGAAATTTCCTTCAGTGTAATTTCTAAAGCAAAACTTAAATTCTATCATACTTCTTTAGCACAAGATACAATACTTCTCGGATGCTCAAAAAATGGAACTATGTGGACTCCACAGAATACTTATTTTGCATCCACTTGATGCAAACCACCTCTTGGTTCCTGAAACCAACCTTTCTGCTCTCCTCCCTACAAGCAAAATCCATCAAAAAGGGACAGCAACCAGTAGCCAGGAAGAGCTGTGTGAGACACCTAAGTCACATTCCTATGTCCTGAACAAAGAAAATGTCTCCTTGACACCGAACTCCTGAAGTACCTAAGGAATGTCACTATACTGTAGGCAGATGCGCAGATGGTGCCAAGGGCACTCCTGTAAGCAGCTTAGTTTTTTGGGGAAGAGACCAGATAGAGACATCAGATAATGTCTGCCCCCCTTTTTTTCTTGCTGGAGTTGCAAAATTTGTGACTGGCATTATTAAGTTAAAGAGTAGAATGGAGGGGCGCCTGGGTGGCTCAGATGGTTGGGCGTCTGCCTTCGGCTCAGGTCATGATCCCAGGGTCCTGGGATTGAGCCCCACGTTGGGCTCCTGGCTCAGCGAGAAGCCTGCTTCTCCCTCTCCCTCTGCCTCTCTCCCTGCTCATGCTTTCTCCCTCTCTCTCTGTATCTCTGTGTCTCAAGTGAATAAATAAAATCTTTAAAAAAAAAAAAAAAGAGTAGAATGGAAAGAGCCAACCCTGTGTGGTGGGGGCAGTGAAGAAGGTGCCTGGAAAAACCTGAGCTGGGCCCTGAAGGAACATTTGGGGGAGACAGGTGAGAGAAGAGAAGGGAGTGTACCCTAACCAAAGAACAGTCATGGGAAGCCAGGGAATGGAGGACACAGCAAGAACAAAAAGGCACGGAAGCCTAGATGGGCCTGACAAGAGGAGCCTCTGGCCTGGATAGGACGCAGATCTACAGAGGCCTGAACGCTGGAGTCTATAAAAGCTTGATTCTCTAGGCCATGAGAGGTAGACAGGGGAACCGTGATTTTATGGAATGCTAGGAGAGCCTGAGAGAAAATTCCCTAGACAGAGGAAAGCATTATGAGGTTGGTGCACAGGTAGAGAGAATGATGCCAAGAGCATTCATTCATTCCTTATCTCCATAAATCTCAAGTCAAAGCCATGCTCTGTTTTAAGCAAGGTGCAAGATAATGTGACAACAGGCTGGTCCCTTCTACAGACTGGCTTCCCAACAGCATAGAATTCATCCCACTGCCCTCACTTCCCACATTCTTTGTTTTTCCCTGAGATCAGCTATTTGATTTCCATTTTTTCTTTGCAGAAACAACTCTCTCTAGGCTATAATAGGGTAGCACAACTAGAGCAGATTTAAGGAAAACTTCAAGCCACAGCAGGATCCAAGACACTACCTCAGCTACCCCTGAATTTCTTAAATTTTAATAACGTCTGACATGGGGTGGGAAGAGAATTTTTACTAATTACCCTTGGCATTTTATATCGGATGAGAGAACCATTTACTAGATTAAGGTAAAAGAGAGTACAGTTCGTTTCTGATTACAAGTCTATTTTGTCTATTTTAGGCAACAAAGGCAATGCAGAGTTTGTGGGAAACCTTCCATAAAAGCCCTTTGAAATAATGCAGATCAAAACCAAAAACCGTCCTGCACATCTTATGCGAAGCCTGAGCTTACCCTATTTTAAAAAGTTTGTTACAATTATGAGTATAGAAGAACAAAGTATTTCAATAATCATAACTGTATTTTTAAAAAATCTATAATGGGAACCATGGCTTTACAGCTTTACTCCCAGAATCCCCAAGTTCAGTCAGGACAACCAAATGGAAATTGACTTTGTCTTAATATGAAAATATCGGAAAAATGTGAAGGACTTATGCTAGACAGGTTGGACTTACAGGCAATAAAGCACTTTTTAAAAGCTGTTTTGGTTTGCTGCTGGAGCCTCTGAAGAGTTATGTGTTAAAGTAGCCCTGTGCCCGTCAGCATTCACCTCTTCATCTTCTGTAAAGGGCACATCCCCCCAAAGTAAGAGGCCTTGGTACAAGAACACCTCATCCTGCAGAGAGTTTTCCTAGGTCTACAGAGATAAATAGTGGTGGGACAATGCTCTTTTCAAGGGATAACTACTAAATGGCCAATGCCCAAGGGAAGGCAGTCAGCAGCAGTAGCCTGCCTGGGGCTGAGATCTCCCTTTGGTCACAGCTGGCTTCCCACATGCTCTCTCTATTCACAATCAGAGGAGGAAAGGATAGAAGACACCAGGAGAGATAATGGGGACACAGGCATACAAGGTCACCAAAGTGCAGGTGCAAAAATCAAAGCAATCCCCCCGCCTCTGCCTGCCCAGACTTGCCACCAAATCCTAGAGGAGGGGGTGTCTCTTAGGTCACAGTACTTTTTTTCTTCATTTCTCTTGATTTAAAAACAAATCAGCAGGGAGGACAAAGTTCTCATGAATGGAAAAATCAAATCTGAAACAAGAGCAACACAATTCATTGGTAACATTAATCTCCTTCCAGAGCAATACACCTCACTGCTATGATCTTAGGGGAAAAAAGATCTTATCGGGACGCCTGGGTGGCTCAGTTGGTTAAGCGTCTGCCTGAGATCCTGGGATCCAGCCCTGCATCAGGCTCCCTGCTCAGTGTGAAGCCTGCTTCTCCCTCTCCCTCTGTCCTCTTCCCCCTGCTCATGCTCTGTCTCAAATAAATAAAAATCTTTAAAAAAAAAAAAAAGTCAGTTTGAAATCAAACATACACTAGAATGATGCACACTTGGTGGAAGGAATATAGGAATCTTGGCTTCTGCTTTGTACCATTCTGTATTGTTTTGAATTGCTTCCATGTGCATTTTTTAATTAGAAAAAAAAAAAATGAAAGGAAAATAAATGCTTAAAGTCAATTATCTGGAAAGGTACTAGGCCAGGGCTAAATTGTGAAGCTGACCTACTGGGCTAGTTAGCAAAGGTGTTCAGAGGGGCTTATTCTGTTGCTGGCATGAACTGTACACGTGAACTGTGTTCCCTGTAGAAGTCTTGGAACAACTCACAGTCAGGCCACCAACCACTTTTTACCAATGTCCTGACTGTCCCCACACAGAAGGGGAAAGGAGGGGTGCATGCTGGCAGCAAAAGGCAGTGGAAGTACCCTGTTCCCACTCAGACAGGCTGCCTTTGGGGAGTCTTGCTCAGCTCCTGCACTGTGGGGCGGAAGGAAGCCTCTGCTTTCTGGCAGGCCTGGGTCGGCCGCCCTCAAGAAACCTAGTCCATGGTGCTACGGGCTGATCTGGGGAGTTGGAGGCCTTTATGTTTCTGGACTCATTTGTATGCAGGGAGTGTAGTCTAATGCTTCGCTACCTGACGCATCATTCCTCAGCATTTGGCATCACCTAGGAACTTCCTAGAAATGTAGAGACATAGATTCCAACCGATATGTAATGATTCAGATTTTGCTTTTTCATCACAATTCCCAGGGTGGTTAATGTGCCTACTAAAATTTGTGAAGTGCTGGTTCAGTGCAAAAAGCACAGGACAGGTGCCTAGGGACTTGCCATCAGGTCTTGATTTTGCCACAAACTTGTAGTAGGAACTTCGGGGGGAAAAAGCATGTTTCTGGGCCTGACTTTCCTCATCTGTTGAGGGAGGGAGCTGATGTAGAACACATGAAGGCCTCTTCTAGCTCTCATGTTGCAGACATGTATATAATGGATGTCTCTGCTTTGTGGTCCGCAAAGGGCGGGGCAATGGCGGCAGCACCCCAGAATCAGCTGCTGCCTCTTCGTCAAATGCAAGCGCACTGCTGGGCCTGAGACTGCATATCCCTCCCGCACACCTGGGGCTCCCTTCCTTACCTTCTGGTCCAAACGCTGGTAATCACTGGCCTTTGGGCGCCGAATGACTTTCGATCTTTTTCCTTCTAGGACAAAAGCAATAATCTGGGGAAAGGAAAAAGAAATTAACAGGTGATTCTACAATAGCATATTTCAGTCTCTAAAATCAGAGGTCACCACCTAGTAGTACATTTGTTAATGACCCTGACAGTGAAAGAGCAGTACAACCACAAAGAGGCCTCTTTAAATTATAAGTTTTCAGGAGGACAGGGCCTCCAGTTACATCAGAATCTTTTATACTGCCAAACAGGAAATGACAGATGAAGGAAGACTGTTCTGGGCTTTAGCTTGTGGGAGTCTGTGTGATTTACTCAAGAGCACAAAGATCTGCCAACTGCGCCCCAGACGGCTCTAGGATAAGACACTCCTTTTTTACTTACAAGCAATAATTATTTCTTATCTGCAAATGTACTTTTTCTCCCCACACCTTGTTTCATTTTAACCTTTTACCACTTTCACATCTGAGGTTCCTGTGTGATGAGCACTTGGATGTAGAATAAGGAACACACCATTCTTATTAAATGTCTTCCCTCATTCCTCACAGCCATAGGCATACTGACATCATGAATTGAACTCTCCAATTTTAACCAGGCTATAGAAACTACTAAATTCTTAGGGCTCGATAAGAAATGCAATCATTTTGTCATCAGAGTGGTTGCTAAGCAACACAGATACTACTCCACACCAAACCCTGCTATAAGATGAGTGTATCCATGCAATTTCTGGCCATTCTTCTAATCAGAAACTCAACTGACTGTAGAAGATAGTTTCTGGGCTCTCTGCTGTTGATGTCAAAGACTATGTAACCACTCTTTCTGCCATTGCAGATGGAAGATAAAAGCTTGGGAAAAGAAACTAGAGATGATGCACAATCTTCAGAGTGGAAACAGGAAGATAAGTACTCTACTTACAAACTGTCAGGTACTCAGGTTCTCTGAGGCAGTAAACGATCTAAGTTGAAGATTATGGGAGGAGACCCCAATTTAGGTCAGATCATAATAATGTCCTCACTTGGCACCTAATGCAGCAGCAGAGGGCACTCAAAGGAATCTGACATGGAAGAAGTTGATTTATAAAATGAGAGTAAAGAGCCCTAGCAGAATCTGAGGAAAAACTGAAGTCTGTCTTAAAATCCCCAGTGCTCACAGGCAGATGGGTGAGAGATACTGGCCCACACACCAAGCTTTCAGGGTGGAGGAAATCCCATTCCTCTTCTTAAGGCAATTCTTGACTTACCTTCCGTTTGTTGTGATAGGCAATGTAGAGGACAGCAACAAGAATGGCTGCAGTCACCAGATAGGCAAAGAAGTGGCTGCTCTCGGCACTAGCACGTCCAAGATTGTCCTTAAAAGGGTCAACATTCCCTCTACCCGTGGAATCCAAAAGTGTCCCTTCACGGTTCTCACTGGAGGCAAGGCCAGGCATTTCTTTCTCTCCTTTGGATGGTGAATCTTCTTCAGGCTCTGTATCCCCTTCCTTGGCCTTCTTGGGCTCCACATCTGTAAGCTCTGAAGACTTGCCTTCTCTCTCCTGCTGTGGAGAAGTGGGTTTCGAGTCTAGTAATACTCTCTCCCCAGATTCACTTCTAAAAGCATGCAGAGAGGCATCTTTGTCAGCTGGTATGTTTAAGTCAGGCTTGGTGGGCTCCTTGTTATCAGAGGAGGGGTTGGAGACCAGCTTGTCAGAGCCTTCTCCCGTGGACTGCGGCTTGAGCTTCTCCTTGTCAGGGCCATCTCCCGAGGACTGCGGCCGGGATTTCTCCTTGTCAGCGCCTTCTCCCGTGGACTGGGGCCGGGATATCTCCTTGTCAGCGCCTTTTCCCCGGGACTGTGGCTCGGCCTTCTCCTTGGCGGGGTCGTCTCCCGTGGGCTGCGGCTGGGCCTTCTCCTTGGCGGGGTCGTCTCCCGTGGGCTGCGGCTGGG